ACAGATCCAGCACCGATCCCCTGCCAGTAGAAGGAGCTGGAGCTACAGGTCTGGCACCAACCCCCCCTGCCAGTACAGGGGATGATGGAGCTACAGGTCCAGCACTAACCCTCTTCCTGTAGAGAAGGGGGCTGGAGCTACAGGTCCAGCACCAACCCTCTGGCAGTAGAGTGGGGCTGGAGCTACAGGTCCAGCACCAACCCCCCTGCCAGTAGAGGGGGGCTGGAGCTACAGGTCCAGCACCAACCCCCTGCCAGTAGAGGGGGGCTGGAGCTACAGGTCCAGCACCAACCCCCTGCCAGTAGAGGAGGGCTGGAGCTACAGGTCCAGCACCAACCCCCTGCCTGTAGAGGGGGACTGGAGCAACAGGTCCAGCACCAACCCCATGCCAGTAGAGGGGGGCTGGAGCTACAGGTCCAGCACCAACCCCCTGCCAGTAGAGGGGGGCTGGAGCTACAGGTCCAGCACCAACCCCCTGCCAGTAGAGGGGGCTGGAGCTACAGGTCCAGCACCAACCCCCTGCCAGAAGAGGGGGGACTGGAGCTACAGGTCCAGCACCAACCCCCTTCCAGTAGAGGGGGCTGGAGCTACAGGTCCAGCACCAACCCCCTGCCAGTAGAGGGGGGGGCTGGAGCTACAGGTCCAGCACCAACCCCCTGCCAGTAGAGGGGGGCTGGAGCTACAGGTCCAGCACCAACCCCCTGCCAGTAGAGGGGGGGCTGGAGCTACAGGTCCAGCACCGACCCCCTGCCAGTAGAAGGAGCTGGAGCTACAGGTCTGGCACCAACCCCCCCTGCCAGTAGAGGGGATGATGGAGCTACAGGTCCAGCACTAACCCTCTTCCTGTAGAGAAGGGGCTGGAGCTACAGGTCCAGCACCAACCCCTGGCAGTAGAGTGGGGCTGGAGCTACAGGTCCAGCACCAACCCCCCTGCCAGTAGAGGGGGGCTGGAGCTACAGGTCCAGCACCAACCCCCTGCCAGTAGAGGGGGGCTGGAGCTACAGGTCCAGCACCAACCCCCTGCCAGTAGAGGAGGGCTGGAGCTACAGGTCCAGCACCAACCCCCTGCCAGTAGAGGGGGACTGGAGCAACAGGTCCAGCACCAACCCCATGCCAGTAGAGGGGGGCTGGAGCTACAGGTCCAGCACCAACCCCCTGCCAGTAGAGGGGGGCTGGAGCTACAGGTCCAGCACCAACCCCCTGCCAGTAGAGGGGGGCTGGAGCTACAGGTCCAGCACCAACCCCCTGCCAGTAGAGGGGGACTGGAGCTACAGGTCCAGCACCAACCCCCTTCCAGTAGAGGGGGGCTGGAGCTACAGGTCCAGCACCAACCCCCTGCCAGTAGAGGGGGGTGGAGCTACAGGTCCAGCACCAACCCCCTTCCAGTAGAGGGGGACTGGAGCTACAGGTCCAGCACCAACCCCCTTCCAGTAGAGGGGGGCTGGAGCTACAGGTCCAGCACCAACCCCCTGCCAGTAGAGGGGGGGTGGAGCTACAGGTCCAGCACCAACCCCCTTCCAGTAGAGGGGGACTGGAGCTACAGGTCCAGCACCAACCCCCTTCCAGAAGAGGGGGGCTGGAGCTACAGGTCCAGCACCAACCCCCTGCCAGTAGAGGGGGCTGTAGCTACACATCTAGCACCAACCCCCTGCCATTAGAGGGGGTGATGGCTGCAGCGTCAGGTCCAACACCAACCCCCTGCCAGTAGAGAGGGGGCTGAAGCTACAGGTCCATCACCAAACCCCTGCCAGTAGAGATGGAGCTGCAGCTACAGGTCCAGCAACAACCCCCTGCCAATAGAGGGGGGCTGCAGCTATAGGTCCAGCAGCAACCCCCTGCCAGTAGAGGGGTGATTGCTGAAGCTACAGGTCCAGCACCAACCCCCTGCCAGTACAGGTGGGGGGTTGGAGCTACAGGTCCAGCACCAACCCCCTGCCAGTAGAGGGGTGATTGCTGAAGCTACAGGTCCAGCACCAACCCCCTGCCAGTACAGGTGGGGGGTTGGAGCTACAGGTCCAGCACCAACCCCCTGCCAGTAGAGGGGTGATTGCTGAAGCTACAGGTCCAGCACCAACCCCCTGCCAGTACAGGTGGGGGGCTGGAGCTACAGGTCCAGCACCAATCCTCTACCAGAAGAGAGGGGGTTGCAGCTACAGGTCCAGCACCAACCCCCTGCCAGTAGAGGGGTGATTGCTGAAGCTACAGGTCCAGCACCAACCCCCTGCCAGTACAGGTGGGGGGTTGGAGCTACAGGTCCAGCACCAACCCCCTGCCAGTAGAGGGGTGATTGCTGAAGCTACAGGTCCAGCACCAACCCCCTGCCAGTACAGGTGGGGGGTTGGAGCTACAGGTCCAGCACCAACCCCCTGCCAGTACAGGTGGGGGGCTGGAGCTACAGGTCCAGCACCAATCCTCTGTCAGTAGAGGGGGGGTTGGAGCTACAGGTCCAGCACCAACCCCCTGCCAGTAGAGGGGGGCTGGAGCTACAGGTCCAGCACCAACCCCCTGCCAGTAGAGGGGGGCTGGAGCTACAGGTTCAGCACCAACCCCCTGCTAGTAGAGGGGGGCTGGAGCTACAGGTCCAGCACCAACCCCCTGCTAGTAGAGGGGGGCTGGAGCTACAGATCCACCTACATCCCCCTGCCAGTAGAGGGGGGCTGGAGCTACAGGTTCAGCACCAACCCCCTGCCAGTAGAGGGGGGCTGGAGCTACAGGTCCAGCATCAACCCCCTGCTAGTAGAGGGGGGCTGGAGCTACAAGTCCAGCACTAACCCCCTGCTAGTAGAGGGGGGGGGCAAAAAGCTACAGGTCCAGCACGAACCCCCTGCCAGTAGAGGGGGGCTGGAGCTACAGGTCCAGCACCAACCCCCTGCCAGTAGAGGGGGCCTGGAGCTACAAGTCCAGCACCAACCCCCTGCCAGTAGAGGGGGGGGCAAAAAGCTACAGGTCCAGCACGAACCCCTTGCCAGTAGAGGGGGGCTGGACCTGCAGGTCCAGCACCAACCCCCTGCCAGTAGAGGGGAGCTGGAGCTACAGGTCCAGCACTAACCCCCCCCCCCTGCCAGTAGAGGAGGCTGGAGCTACAGGTCCAGCACCAACCCCCTGCCAGTAGAGGGGGGGGCAAAAAGCTACAGGTCCAGCACGAACCCCTTGCCAGTAGAGGGGGGCTGGACCTGCAGGTCCAGCACCAACCCCCTGCCAGTAGAGGGGAGCTGGAGCTACAGGTCCAGCCCTAACCCCCCCCCCCCTGCCAGTAGAGGAGGCTGGAGCTACAAGTCCAGCACCAACCCCCTGCCAGTAGAGGGGGGGGCAAAAAGCTACAGGTCCAGCACGAACCCCTTGCCAGTAGAGGGGGGCTGGACCTGCAGGTCCAGCACCAACCCCCTGCCAGTAGAGGGGAGCTGGAGCTACAGGTCCAGCACTAACCCCCCCTGCCAGTAGATGGGGACGGGAGCTACAGGTCCAGAACCAACCCCCTGCCAGTAGAGGAGGGGTGGAGCTACAGGTCCATCACCAATCCCCCTGCCAGTAGAAGGGGCTGGAGCTACAGGTCCAGAACCAACCCCCTGCCAGTAGAGGAGGGGTGGAGCTACAGGTCCATCACCAATCCCCCTGCCAGTAGAAGGGGCTGGAGCTACAGGTCCAGAACCAACCCCCTGCCAGTAGAGGAGGGGTGGAGCTACAGGTCCACCACCAACCCCCTGCCAGTAGAGGGGAGCTGGAGCTACAGGTCCACCACCAACCCCCTGCCAGTAGAGGGGAGCTGGAGCTACAGGTCCACCACCAACCCCCTGCCAGTAGAAGGGGGCTGGAGCTACACGTCCAGCACCAACCCTCTGTTAGTAGAGATGGGGGGGGGGGGCTGGAGCTACAGGTCCAGCACCAATCCCCTGCCGGTAGAGTGGGGCTGGAGCTACACGTCCAGCACCAACCCCCTGCCAGTAGAGGGGGGCTGGAGCTACAGGTCCAGCACCAACCCCCTGCCAGTAGAGGGGGGGCTGGAGCTACACGTCCAGCACCAACCCCCTGCCAGTAGAGGGAGGCTGGAGCTACAGGTCCAGCACCAACCCCCTGCCAGTAGAGGGGGACTGGAGCTACAGGTCCAGCATAATGGGGCTGACACAGACCACAGGTGATAATGGGGCTGACACTGTCCACAGGTGATAATGGGGCTGACACTGACCACAGGTGATAATGGGGCTGACACTGACCACAGGTGATAATGGGGCTGACACTGGCCACAGGTGATAATGGGGCTGACACTGTCCACAGGTGATAATGGGGCTGACACTGACCACAGGTGATAATGGGGCTGACACTGACCACAGGTGATAATGGGGCTGACACTGACCACAGGTGATAATGGGGCTGACACTGGCCACAGGTGATAATGGGGCTGACACTGTCCACAGGTGATAATGGGGCTGACACTGACCACAGGTGATAATGGGGCTGACACTGTCCACAGGTGATAATGGGGCTGACACAGACCACAGGTGATAATGGGGCTGACACTGTCCACAGGTGATAATGGGGCTGACACTGACCACAGGTGATAATGGTGCTGACACTGTCCACAGGTGATAATGGGGCTGACACTGTCCACAGGTGATAATGGGGCTGACACTGTCCACAGGTGATAATGGGGATGACACTGACCACAGGTGATAATGGGGCTGACACTGGCCACAGGTGATAATGGGGCTGACACTGTCCACAGGTGATAATGGGGCTGACACTGACCACAGGTGATAATGGGGCTGACACTGTCCACAGGTGATAATGGGGCTGACACAGACCACAGGTGATAATGGGGCTGACACTGTCCACAGGTGATAATGGGGCTGACACTGACCACAGGTGATAATGGTGCTGACACTGTCCACAGGTGATAATGGGGCTGACACTGTCCACAGATGATAATGGGGCTGACACTGTCCACAGGTGATAATGGGGATGACACTGACCACAGGTGATAATGGGGCTGATACTGTCCACAGGTTGAGGACCTCCGCAGGATGAGTGAGCCCGTCAAGATGCTGATGGAGGTTGGCCGGGTGTTGGCCGCCAAGAGGCTGGTGGAGGCTGGCCGGGTGGTGGCTGTTAAGGAAGTTAAGGAAGTTAAGGAAGACCAAGATGGCCGCCGCTCCGCCAGGATAACTCTAGAACACGGAAAGCTGTACCTCCACTCACTCCTGGATCAGCCCATGCCCGCTCACGCCCACACCCTCCAGGTAACTTTATTACACCCACTAGTCATACTAGCATTACTGATTTACTGAGTTATCATAACTAATATGATAACATTTTGTTGTACAGTTATTATCATGATTTATTTCATTTCCTGCAGGAGAGTGAGGTTGTGGGCATGCTGAACCCCTCCTGCACCCTGGCGTTCCTTGACCTCGGGTGGGAGGGGTCAACAAGAGGGCGGGTCACCATCGGGCTGACCTCTCACACTCGGCTGGCCAGACAGTTTGTGTTGTTGTGTACGGGCGAGCAGGGCCACACCTACCGCAACACTAAACTGTTGCGGGTGGGGAACAAGGGTAAGCCGGGGGAGTGTGTGAAGGGCGGAGACTACGAGAGTAATGATGGTAAGGGAGGAGCCCCACTGCCCCTGGAGGAGTCTGGCCTCCAGGGGCAGTACCAGGGGTCAGACGAGGCAGGAGCTGTGTGGGGCTTGGATAAGCCGGGGGGTCCCAGGAGTGCCCAGTTCGGCATCACCATCAGGGACCGAAAGGATGGTCGCCAGTGGCCACGTGTCTTCGGTAATGTGGTGAGTGGCATGGATGTGGTGAGGGCAGCAGTCCACCACAGGGACATTACGCAGGTGACTGTTGTGGACTGTGGTGTTGTGCTGACACTCTAGTTCACTGTACCATCACTACTGTGGTGTTGTGCTGCCACTCTAGTTCACTGTACCACCACCATCACTACTGTGGTGTTGTGCTGCCACTCTAGTTCACTGTACCACCACCATCACTACTGTGGTGTTGTGCTGACACTCTAGTTCACTGTACCATCACTACTGTGGTGTTGTGCTGCCACTCTAGTTCACTGTACCACCACCATCACTACTGTGGTGTTGTGCTGACACTCTAGTTCACTGTACCATCACCATCACTACTGTGGTGTTGTGCTGCCACTCTAGTTCACTGTACCATCACTACTGTGGTGTTGTGCTGCCACTCTAGTTCACTGTACCATCACTACTGTGGTGTTGTACTGCCACTCTAGTTCACTGTACCACCACCATCACTACTGTGGTGTTGTGCTGCCACTCTAGTTCACTGTACCATCACCATCACTACTGTGGTGTTGTGCTGCCACTCTAGTTCACTGTACCACCACCATCACTACTGTGGTGTTGTGCTGCCACTCTAGTTCACTGTACCACCACCATCACTACTGTGGTGTTGTGCTGCCACTCTAGTTCACTGTACCATCACCATCACTACTGTGGTGTTGTGCTGCCACTCTAGTTCACTGTACCATCACCATCACTACTGTGGTGTTGTGCTGCCACTCTAGTTCACTGTACCATCACCATCACTACTGTGGTGTTGTGCTGCCACTCTAGTTCACTGTACCATCACCATCACTACTGTGGTGTTGTGCTGCCACTCTAGTTCACTGTACCATCACCATCACTACTATGGTGTTGTGCTGCCACTCTAGTTCACTGTACCATCACCATCACTACTATGGTGTTGTGCTGCCACTCTAGTTCACTGTACCATCACCATCACTACTATGGTGTTGTGCTGCCACTCTAGTTCACTGTACCACCACCATCACTACTGTGGTGTTGTGCTGCCACTCTAGTTCACTGTACCATCACCATCACTACTATGGTGTTGTGCTGCCACTCTAGTTCACTGTACCGCCACCATCACTACTATGGTGTTGTGCTGCCACTCTAGTTCACTGTACCGCCACCATCACTCCTGCATCACCATGGACTGCGTGTTTTGATGCCAATGTAATTTAAGGACAGACCTTTATCACTATATCATCATAACTTCACTATCTTTGGTATTTAACACTTTGGTATTATACTTTGGTATCATATACCTGACAAACACGTCTGTATCACAATCAATGCTATATCTTCTCAGTACTGTAACCTTTCATTGCTGTATCACTGTAGCTTCACTATCACCTCTATATATCACTATCACCTCAGGCCCCACACTTGGGGTCATATACTGACCATATTGAGTAACAAATTGTTGGTGTCACTATATGACAGCTGTGGTCACTGTTATATCACCAACAGCTCACTATCACTGCTACACCAACATCATTTCTCTTTCACCGCATTATCTCCTCACACTGATATATTTCCTCCTTACATTCACTGATATATCACTATCACTGCTACAGCACCACTATCTCACCATCACTGTCATATCACTATCACCTCACTACCACTGCTATACTACCATCACCTCAGTATCACTGCTATATCACCACTATACTATCACTGCTATATCACCTCACAATCACTCAGGTGTGTTGTGATATTACCGCCATGGTGTGTTGTGATATTACCATACTGGACCATGGTGTATTGTGGTATTACCATACTGGTCAATGGTGTGTTGTGATATTACCATACTGGTCCATGGTGTGTTGTGATATTACCATACTGGTCAATGGTGTGTTGTGACATTACCATACTGGTCAATGGTGTGTTGTGATATTACCATACTGGTCAATGGTGTGTTGTGATATTACCATACTGGTCAATGGTGTATTGTGGTATTACCATACTGGTCAATGGTGTGTTGTGATATTACCATACTGGTCCATGGTGTGTTGTGATATTACCATACTGGTCAATGGTGTGTTGTGATATTACCATACTGGTCCATGGTGTGTTGTGATATTACCATACTGGTCCATGGTGTGTTGTGATATTACCATACTGGTCCATGGTGTGTTGTGACATTACCATACTGGTCCATGGTGTGTTGTGATATTACCATACTGGTCCATGGTGTGTTGTGATATTACCATACTGGACCATGGTGTGTTGTGATATTACCATACTGGTCCATGGTGTGTTGTGATATTACCATACTGGACCATGGTGTATTGTGGTATTACCATACTGGTCAATGGTGTGTTGTGATATTACCATACTGGACCATGGTGTGTTGTGATATTACCATACTGGACCATGGTGTGTTGTGATATTACCATACTGGTCCATGGTGTGTTGTGATATTACCATATGGGTGTGAGGTGGTGTTATGACCACACATACACCAGTATGATCATACTGTAGCTGGTGTATGATGTGCTCAAACTGTATAGTGATGTCTTGGCTGATTAGCCTAGTATCATGAATATTAATTTATGTAGTTATTCTTTTTTTGACAGCACACTAGTATTAAATGTGTATTGCCAATGTATGCCACATATATCTATGTATATTATATATCTGTACCATAAGTCCTTGCCATGTATTTGTGGATATATATTAGAAGTCTAGTGAACAGCAGTAGCCTAATGTAATGTAGCTTGAAAAACATTCGTATATGCTTATATTATAGAATGCTACATAAGGCTGTATAGGAAATATTATGTGAACTATGATGGAGAATGTATAAATTTAGGTCTCGGATGTATTACTGTCATGTATACTGTGTAATTTCCCTTTCATTATTGTTCATTGCATTGTTCTCTAACATTAAATTAGATTTTGGCATTGTGAGATGTATACCATATAGACATAGCTTTGATACACATGTATATATTTATACTTTATATTGTATTCATGTATACTTATGTATAATGGCTGGCTGGCAGATGTCTTGAAATCCTCCCTTAACCCCTCCTCCCCTCTCCCGCCAGTGTTACCATGTCTTGCCAATATGAGTTCTTTGTTCACATATTTTTATATCATGATATAATCTTTAATGTACTGAATTATTATTGTGTATTATAGTCTTTATTTTGTTGATATATGAATTAGAAGTTCTTGATGGAGATATGTGTGTATATGAGCTTGAGATATTTGAAAGAGAGGAGTCAGCTGACTCATAGAGGTGGATACAGTGTCGCTCCCGGCCAGCATGGCTCTGGGCGGTCACTCTTTGATTTTCTCAGTCGAGCGCATGTGTTGCCGCTACGGTCCGGGTTTTGTGACCTTATTTGTGTCATTTGACTGCTAGGATATTTGTCATGTTGCAGTAATGTATACCATGGATCAATTCTACCATTGTGCATCCTTTATACCAGGTGATAAGTGCTGTTATATATCTTAGTGAGGTGGGTACCTGAGGATCTTAAGTGATGCCATTGTGTTGTATATGATTCCTCATACCTCATTTGTTAATGGTTGTGACACCACCACCACCACCCTGTATTGGTATTAGCAGCATAATAGGCGCTAGTGTCCCATGATAGAGCCTGGCGTCAGCTAGTGCTGATTGTATGCAGTTTTGAGACCTGTTGATGATCATGCCCAGCTTTGACAAGCTGGATAAATCATTGAGTGTGAGTTATAGATTGTATTCTTTTTGTTATGTTCATTTATGTTAATGCCCAGTAAACTGGAATATGTTTTGTTAGCTTTTCACTCCCCTAGACACTTATTGATATTTGGCCAGGCTGTGTTTTCCATTGATGCTGTATATATATATATATATATATATATATATATATATATATATATATATATATATATATATATATATATATATATATATATATATATATATATATATATATATATATATATATATATATATATATATAACTGAAAACTCAAGCTATTTGAAACCCCACCCCAGAAGTGACTCGAACCCATACTCCCAGAAGCAACGCAACTGGTATGTACAAGACGCCTTAATCCACTTGACCATCACGACCGGACATAATGAGGTGATAGCCTAAGCTATTTGAACCACCCCACCGCCGGCACTCGGATAGTAATCTTGGGCATAGCATTTTACCAAATCACCTCATTCTTTGGGGCACACGTGAGGAACACAAATGCGAACAAGCCTGAATGGTCCCCAGGACAATATGCAACTGAAAACTCACACCCCAGAAGTGACTCGAACCCATACTCCCAGAAGCAACGCAACTGGTATGTACAAGACGCCTTAATCCACTTGACCATCACGACCGGACATAATGAGGTGATAGCCTAAGCTATTTGAACCACCCCACCGCCGGCACTCGGATAGTAATCTTGGGCATAGCATTTTACCAAATCACCTCATTCTTTGGGGCACACGTGAGGAACACAAATGCGAACAAGCCTGAATGGTCCCCAGGACAATATGCAACTGAAAACTCACACCCCAGAAGTGACTCGAACCCATACTCCCAGAAGCAACGCAACTGGTATGTACAAGACGCCTTAATCCACTTGACCATCACGACCGGACATAATGAGGTGATAGCCTAAGCTATTTGAACCACCCCACCGCCGGCACTCGGATAGTAATCTTGGGCATAGCATTTTACCAAATCACCTCATTCTTTGGGGCACACGTGAGGAACACAAATGCGAACAAGCCTGAATGGTCCCCAGGACAATATGCAACTGAAAACTCACACCCCAGAAGTGACTCGAACCCATACTCCCAGAAGCAACGCAACTGGTATGTACAAGACGCCTTAATCCACTTGACCATCACGACCGGACATAATGAGGTGATAGCCTAAGCTATTTGAACCACCCCACCGCCGGCACTCGGATAGTAATCTTGGGCATAGCATTTTACCAAATCACCTCATTCTTTGGGGCACACGTGAGGAACACAAATGCGAACAAGCCTGAATGGTCCCCAGGACAATATGCAACTGAAAACTCACACCCCAGAAGTGACTCGAACCCATACTCCCAGAAGCAACGCAACTGGTATGTACAAGACGCCTTAATCCACTTGACCATC